GTAAAAGATAACCAAATTTTTTCCTGATTTCCCCTAAAATTTTTCACCCTCTAATGAACCCGGTTATTCCCGGTCCCAGACACCAGGCTTTAAAGACGTACATAAACGGAAGAGGGAGCCAAAAACGCGGCAACTTGTGCAAACATCGACGTGCAATTAATTGGCTCTTTCGGGTTGGCCCTGTAAAGTGTACAACCCTTGAAAAATTAATTGGGATCAGTAGATTCATCTTACCTCATTTTTCAAGTCGACTTTGTCCAAGTGCCACGAGAAAACCTGATCGAACTTCCGTGTTAACATTTCCCGAGCACTTTCTCCGAGTGCTCAACGTGGAGCAAGTTGCAGTCTGAAACTACTCGGGAGGAGAATTTGTGTTCGGCGTGAAAACCTTGAAAAGCACGGTGGAGTACGGTTCCTTCAGCGGTTAACCTTAGCCTCATTAAAGTGCGTTAAACCTGACGCTCGTTGCGACCGGTTATGAACTCTAATCGTCTCATTCGTACAATTTTTCCGGCTCCCGAGATTTTAAGGTTTTTCAAAATTAACGACAAGAAACTGCGACGAACAACGCTTGATTCCATTCGCGGTTCTCATTATATTTTTTTAAGGTGATTTTTACGTGGAAGTAAAAAATCATCAACACACCGATGGCTAAAGTGGGAAATCACGTATCTCCATTACAGTGTTTCAAAATCTCTGCTCTTATTTTATTTTTTCGAAGAAAAAACAAGTCAGCTATGTAGCTTGGCATATCTACCAAAAATTCTACTAAAAGAGGCGAAAAATCAAGGAAGTTTTTGAGAAATTAAGTTATCTAGTTTTCTCAAGAAAAAATTAAGTATGACCGGAGGTCTGCAACGTCGAAAACGGAGAAACGTGGTTTCGCCTTTGACAATCAATATTGAATTAATTTCGCTAAAATCTACTTTGCTTTTCACTTTTTGCAATAAAAGAGACGAGACAACGTGAGGAAGTGCTTTATACGTCTATATATTTCTGAAAAATGTCTTATCCAAAACTCAGAATAAAAGTGAAGTGTCAATCGAATCAAATCAACTGAGACTCAACGCAAAAATTCCGATTCGATCGACTAAATAACTCAAAAGATGATCTAGTGACGAATCTTACAAGTTTGTAACACTATTTTTCTCCATTTAAGTTCATGAAAATTCCAAGAAAAGTCAATTTTTAGTCTCATCTAGAATCGATTGTTTTACATGCATTTAAATGGAGAAAAAGCAGCGCTGCAATATAGCAAGAATCGCTTTTGGACCGGGCAATTCGTCACAAGTAGAGTCAAACATGGCTCATGAACTTGCAAACTTGTAAGATTGGTTCAGGATCCAAAACCAGATTCAGCCCGGAAGTTTTCGCAGAATCATGCTGAATTCTACCAGATTTGACAACGAGGACTGAAGAGCTTGGTCGGCCGGTAAGAATAGAAGGTATGAATGAAAAAGCGTGCACGGGTATTTCGCGACCATGACGACCACGCAGCCACGCAGCGCGCCGCGCCATGCCACCTGCGCGGTGGGCGCTGCTATCGACCATTCAAACCAGGTTCATTCACCCAAAATCGGGGTCCGAATCACCGGCCGCGTGCTTCATTTGTCACGAGCGCGTGAGGAGTCGTCCATTCTCAGACGACCACTTAAGTTTTGGCAAACGCTGATGACACCGACGCACAATGGACCCACGCAAAAAGGTCGGAAATGATGCGGAAACTTAACAAGCTTACGCTGATAAAAATCGAATGGTACACGTAAAAAAAGAGTACGGGGTTGTTGGATGATATAGACATTTCAGATTAATGGAGAATTTGCACACAAAAAATTATTGTTTCATCAGAGAGTGCTCAATGAGCTGAGTTCGCAGTATTTTTCATAATTTTTTTCTGATATGCGAAATAGGAGAAAAATAGATTTAAAAGTGAGAAAATGTGCCGAGTTACGACGTCATCTGGCTCATCTCCATTTAAACACATGTATTTTAGCAGATTAGGTTATTTTGTCATATTTCCTCCAATAACTGTTCAATTCAGAAACCAAGGATACCCTCGTGCCCAGTTTTCCTAGTAAAATCATTTTAAAGATGAAATTCACAAAATTTGAGACACCTGCAAATTCTGCAATAGAGTAATACGCAAATAAATCAGGTTACCAACCCAAATGTTGCGGTGCGGCCACAACGTGAAGTGCGGTACTATCAAAAATAATAGAAAATGCCTATATCATCCAACAAATTAAGGTTCTCCCACAATTTTAGGTATGAGCCCTTTACACTTTTTTTCCGTGTACAATTCGGTGCTGGAGTCTATACAGCGCCCCAAAACCGCGAGTGATAGGAATGCGAAGTGAAATTAGCACCACAAAAGCGTATGACCGTACGCAAGAAGAGTAGATTCCGCTCCGTACGAGTGAAAGTCACTCCGTGCGAGTGAAAGTCACTCCGTACGAGTGCATACGGAGCATAGCTCCTGCTCCGCATTTATATAGCTCAGGGTTTTTGGGCGCTGTATAGACTCCGGCACAGAATATAATGTCCCTTCAAAATGTTATAAAGTGTACAGATTCGGCAATAGAAAACGTAAGAGGTTTGAAAGTGGTTCATTTGATTTTCTCGTAAAATCTTTTTCAAGGAGCACCCATTAAAATTTAAAATGTGATGTAATACACAACAAAATTTGCAGTTTCAGACAAAAATGTCGTGACCGACCTCTCTGAATGGTTTGTTCCACTGTGCGATGTACTATCTCATCGCCTTACCCGAGCCGACTACGATTACCGCTTTGTTGGATGGAATGTCATCCGCTAAAAAATCTCCGGTAGCCGCAGGAGAAGAAAAATCTGGGGGCGATTCAGTAAGATGTTATCAAACGTATGCCGCACCGGGAACCCTGTAAGCGTAGCTGAAGCAATTTTCAGGGGCGTTCTGACATGAGGGAGAGGAATAAAGAAGATGAAGAGGGGGAAAAAAGCGAAAGAATAGGAGGAGGCAGTTTAAAGTTTGAAATGACACCGAAGTTTTCACTTTCATGGTTCCAGAGTTTACGGGATGCCTCCTGAGATTACACGATGAAATTACTAGGGCTTGGAAAATTGGACGATTTTCTTGTTGAAAGAGTCAAAAAAGAAAAAGAAAATTTAAACCTTAACATTCTGAAGGAGTCTTTTTGTTTTTTTTAGTGGCAGGCACACTCGCATTCAAATTATTTGAAACTCGCTAGGATAAGTGATATTATTAGAGGAGGAATTTTTTTGAGGGAGATGAGTCTTCAGAGGGGAGTCAAACTTTTAATCCAATCTCGAGGAAGCAATCATCACTTGTTTTTCAGTGTTGATTGTGAAGACTTCTGAGGAACAACTAAAGTTCCTATTAAAATATTCGGATGAATATAAAATGAAACCACTGAAATTCTCCTACGCTATATAAATCACAGAAAAAAGCCTTATCAACATGGCTTATGTGCAGGGCAAATTTTATATTATTCCTTTTTTTAGAAATCGTGCACCTGAAGTTCACCTTCAATTATTTTTCCGGTGATGTTACGATTCTACCGAATAGCACGAAAGTTGCCTACAATGCTAGCTTACAGACAACAAACCCACCTGCGGTCGGAAATTAAGGGAATGAAATGTCAATTTGGAAACTTCACATTTTTATCGTTCCATCAGCTTGAGGACTGCAAAGATAAACGATGGTTTAAACCGACTGTTATCGTCCACTTGAGGTTCTCCTTCAATTTTAACCATAGGCAACAAGCCTACCGGGGAGTTCGAATAGTTGTATGTTCAAAAAACACACATTCATTTCGCTTCAAGAGCTTTGATTGAGCCGACGCGCGACGAACACAGCAACGTTGTAAACCGAGTGACGGGCAGCGTCCACTCAAGATTCTCCTTAAATTTTGCCGGATAGGCAATAAACCTACCGGAGATTTCGAATAGTTGTATGTTCGAAAAACACACATGCATCTTGCCTCAAGAACTTTGATTGAACCGACAAACGCCGCGACGTTGTAAACCGAGTAATGGGCAGCGTCCACTCAAGGTTCTCCTTCAATTTCGCCGGATAGGCAATAAACCTACCGGAGAGTTCGAACAGTTGTATGTTCGAAAGACACACATTTATAGATCCTTCAAATAGGGGCCTTCACTAACCTTATAGCTTACAATTAGTGTTGAACAATCTTTCTTCAATGCATCGTAATGCTAGCTCCAACTTAATATTACGGATGGAAATTAACTTTTCTCTTCATTATTGTTACAGAGTTGCCATAATTTCTCCATTTTCTGATTCCCTGACTTTTCCCAATTTTCCTGACCCCAAAATTTCCTGATTTCTTGACTCCAAAGTCCCTAATATCCTGACTCCAAATTTCCTAATTTCCTGGCTTCCCACAAAATTGTCCACCTTTTTGTTACCTATTAGCGTGAACACAGGTTTTTTTTTTTTTTTTTTTTTTTTTTTTTTTTTTTTTTTTTTTTTTTTACTTTCGTTCTTCCTTAAATTTATTTTTTTAAAGATCTAATCATGGTTGGAAAAAAGCATTAAATAACTGGGTGAAAAATGACAAGTCTTAAATAGACCATGAAAGGTAAACAGTTAGAAGATCATTGAAATGTTCTATTGATTAGTATGTGTGTCAGAAATTCCCTGACTCTTCCCGGCCGCTACAAACTTCCTAACTTTCCCTGATTTTTCCGGTTTCCCAGACAGCTAACAGACAGCTGTCGTAACGGTACAGTCAACGTTGAGTCTGAATGTCCCCGGCTCATTACATTTGTATATTGTCATTTCTACAACGCACTCTGACGTTCTGCGACACCCAAACGCCACATATGCCTATCCTCCCAGAGGTTATCGTGCAACTGACACCGCAACATCTCTTCGTCAACGCCCTGCCGCCATCCCTCTACGAGACGTCCCCATCATTGGACGTCATTACATTTGTAAATCAATAAAAATTAGGTAAAGCAAGTAAATGAAGATGAACTCACCGATCGTCGTTTATCCGACTCCGAGACAGCAGAGTTGGAGCGGTGACGGAACATGTCCATCATTTTGGAAACAGGGCCACGTGGTAGGGTGGTGCTATCCGAGCCGGCGCGCGGTCTGCTTCCCGCCGAATCACCGCTCGCTTTAGTATGGTCCGCGTGACCGGTGTTCCGTTTCTGTTTCGACAGCGAATGTTCCGAGGAGTTCGACTGAGAGCGAGATTCGATGGACGCCTCGTTGGAGGAATTCGATGCACTACTGCTCGCAGACGTCCGACTCGAGGACCCAGGCGACATCAACGAATTCTGAAACATTGCAAGTTCAAATCCTCACTCCACGTCAACACACTACGGGGTAATACGCGGTGAATGCGGGTGCAAATATTTGACCACGCTTTGGGGACGCATGTAAAAAATGTCGTGCTCATGGGGGAACTGTTCAAATGGACGTATTTCTGTCAAACGGAACTATGTGCATTAAGACATGAGCCCTGAGACCCATAAGAATACATGCATATCAGGGCTCACGTCATAAGGCACATAGTTCCGTTTGACAGAAATACGTCCAAATAATCTGCCGTGCGAAGGAAAAACGCTGTATAAGCCTCCGGACGATGCCAAATGGCATTAGATACATTAAAATTTTTCTGTGAAATTTTTGAGAAATTTTCTTTCATTTTGCAAAGAATTTGATCCGCAATTAAATCTAAAATATCGGAAAATATCAAGAAAAAACGTGCGTAATTTTCCTCAAAAATAAGTATTTTATCTGGGTACATTTGGCAACGTTCATATGTTCTTACGGCGTTTTTCCATAGCACGGTAGTAGTATCAGGGAAGTCCGCCTTAGTTTGTGACGGAGCCAAGTTTCAAGCGACCAACTTGGAACGCAAACAGAAATGCAAAGAGCATAAGATTTATCGCTCCAACTTCATTTAGGTACTATAAAATATTTGCTAACCCTTGGTGAAGTTTGAGAACGTAATTTTCTATTTTCCCCCGTATTTTTAATGGGTCAGTTGCGCTAGTCACGGAATTGTGTTTGATGTTTCATTCTTGTGGAGAAGCTAAGACAATAAGATCTGTTGATACAGAAATTCTCTGCTTTGAATAATAACAGAGATATCGCGTTTTGAAAAATTCGTTCAGTGACGTCATCCATCGTGGTGGTGACATCCTGCGTTTCTACCGTCTTGCTTTCATTTGTCAGGGAGAAACACATTTTCACTGGTTACTCGATGTGAAATTCGGATGAAAGCAAGGTGGAAGAAACCAAGCGTGTCACTACCGCGGTGGATGACGTCATTAACCGAATTTTTTTAAGCGCGATATTTCGATTAATATTGAACGTAGAAACTTGCTATTTGAGAGACCTCATTTTTGTGAGTTAATCTACAAAAATCTAGCATCCACACATAATTCCGTGACCAGCGCAACTGATCCATTTGTTTTCCGTTCCGGTCTGCTCTAAATAGTTGAAGAAAAACAAATGAAATGGGGAAAAAATAAAAAAACAAAAACAAAGGGATGGAACTTCTGCTGGATATCATTTTTCACCTCAGAACTACAATTTCTGGCTCATTTAAGAAAAAAACGTAAGTACCATTAGTTTCCCTATGTATACATGTGTTTTAACGGATGAGCCAGAAATTGTAGTTCCTAATTGAGGAGCTTTCCGGAAAAAGGGCACATAGCAAAAAATCGCGTGTAAGAAAAATGCATTTTAAGTTTCCATCATTACTTTTTGGCCATTGATGGTGACTTTTATCGGAGCTTGAACGCCCGATCTAGAACATAAGTCACAGTCAGTGGCCATAGAGTAATGATAGAAACTTCAAATGCATTTATTTCAAACGCGATTTTTTGCTATGTAACCTTTTTCCGGAAAGCTCCCCAATTGGAAATTCAGTTGTACAAAACGTACCTGGACAGCGTTTTTCATCTGAGAGATAAAATTGGATCCGGTTTTCTTATTCTGGGTTTTCGTTGCATCTGACTTGGAGCGGGGCCTGAATACGTCGAAGATGGTCGGGTGCCGACGAGGCGATTGAGCTGAGGTTCTTGATGAGGCGGTCGATACCAAAATATCATCGTTGGACAATCGCCGTTCGGCGCTTGTCTTCGGGGGAGGCACGTAAGTGGGGGCGTGGACCGTATGGTAAGGCGTCAACTGAACGATTCCCCATGGACCTGGAACAGAAAAAAAAATTACTATCGTCGGGAGAACAATAATCATGCCAGTGCTCCGATTCCTCGGAACTAGTTAATTTTGAAATTCCCAAAAGATACTGGATCTTTTGCATTTTTCGGAACTTTCTCGAAACTTTTGAAAAAATCAAAAAGGAATTCCGGATAAAGATCCGGAATTCCTTTTTGATTTTTCCAGGACCGCCAAAAGTGGCGGTCCTGGAATGGGATAGATTGAGACAAAAAAGTTCGAATTCCGGAGCATTCGACAGTCATGGAATGGGAGCACTGAATCGTGCCATCAAACGAGTTTCACCGACCAGTGCAGTTGGTGCACTCAGAAAAAATTGGACCAAATTCGGCAACGAGGAACTACAATTTATGGTTTACGTTAGAAATAACATATGTGCCATCAGTTCCCCTATGCAAATGGGTGTTTTTATCGATGAGCCAGAAATTGTAGTTCCTTGTTGCGAAATGTGGTTCGTGTGTCCTTATCAAATTTCATGCACAGCCAGTTGAACATACTAAAATTTGGCGAGCCTCCTTTTTGATCGAATAAAAAATTATTTGAGGGTTTTACTTGAATTCTATAAAAAAATTGGCAACAACCCATGATTAACGGCGTCTTTGAACTGAATAACTCGTTGTTTCTCTACTGAGAAGTCCATTCAAGAAGCTAGGGGTTGCTTTGCCAAAATGTGTTAACAACATTCTGCGTGCCCCATTAAAATGCTATGGAATGAAGCTGCTGCGAGTTCCTCGAATTTGCGATTTAATTAACTGGTCCTGTGTAGCATTTCGCGAGGAACGTGACGGTGCTACTGGTTTTGTCAAAATCCACGCCTGGGCATTACATACCTTTCAAAGTTGAAAGCGGCATATCATCGATTATTCAATTGATGGGAACAGGTTCACCTTTACAATGAGGCAAATTTTCTAAAAATTATTTTTGATATTATGGCTTTTGACTCTTTCCGTTCAACATGTTTTGTGTTTCGTCTTGATAATGCACCTGATGCCGAAGCATGGAGGATGATAATAATTTTTTGTATGGTTAAGTTTTTTTTTAGCGGTGGTGTAGTTTTCCTAAAATTGATACTTGAAATTTTAGTGAGCGAGTTCTTTCATCTCAACGGTGCTCATTTTCGTCGAAGAACACTGAACAAAATTTTGTTTGGAGATTATTTTGACTTACAGCGTCGTTTCTTGTCGACAATCTTCGTTATTTGTTTTGTTTTTTTTGGTTAAAGAAATGTTGTTATGGTTTCGTTAAGTTTAAGTTAACAAAAAACAATAACAAAACAACGTTTCTTTATTTCCAAAAACTAACTTAAAGATAAATCTTAAAAGACAAAAAAAAAAAAAAAAAAAAAAAAAAAAAAAAAAAAAAAAAAAAAGTTTGTCAACAAGAGACATTGCTTTAAGTTAAAATAACATCTCATGAAAAACGTTTTTCAGTGAAATTAAAAACGCGTCTTCATGACAGCTGAGAGCTTTCCCGCTTGTTTACTTTTCCGAGCACAATAAACGCGAACTCACTTATGAGTTGGATATTATCAATGCGTTCATCGAGGCCTACGTGAAATTTGGTGAAAAAATAAGTATTGCGATACTTTATTTCGAACCTTATACATCGCGGCTCGCACTGGAACCGTTTACTGTGCCAAATTTTTTTTTGTATAAATTGTTGGCGGTAACGGCTTCAAATTAGACAGTTTTTCATGGACGTACGAGTTAATTTAGTAAGTGACTCAAGAAAAAACCACAAGCACAGTCATGTTTTCAGCAAAACTACGTAAGATCGGTTAGTCCTATCTCAGACCCCAAAACCGTTGAGTAACTCAATTAATTGATTATGGGACACTATTCTGAAAGAGGTTCAATTAGTCCTTTGACTTGCGATCTCAATCCGCCCATTCCCAGGAGGCGGGAAAAGGGCGAAATGGAATAGAGAGGGACAGCGGCGAGTCCCTGAAGGACTTCGTATAGAGTGAGGAAGATGAGCTTAGTTCAAGGCCCTTGAGACCGATAACCACAGAGAATTAATTAATTTCGTGTTGATGTTTCAGGGCTCTGGACCGAGAGATCGCTGAAGCCATGTAGGCTGGTGGCGGATAAACTTATTTCAGCTCACGTGACGGAACTCAACAATATGAGCCCTTGCTAGCAAACCTGGTCAATTCGTCATTTTGTCGCTCCTCTGGCGTTAGAGCGTTCTCGATTTCCATATGAGCCCCTGGAAGCATGGATTTATAAGTGGAACAGGGCTCACGTGGAAATTGAGATACGCCCTTACGTCAGAGGAGCGACGATTTCCCGCACGAAGGAACGTAACTCCCTTCCAAAAATGCAAAATTGACTTAAACTATTTGATTTTTTATAAAAAATTACCTGCGCAGTTTTTGTTCAAAACTGGTCTGATTTTTGTGTGAGATCAGAGGAAAAATCAGTGACATTCCAGTCAGAAATATCCAAATAATTGTCCTGGTAAGAACGAAATTTTCGAAGGAAAATTTGGCATTGGCAACATTAAAATATATTTACGTTCTTTCATGAGGAAAACAGCGAAGTTCGTTGCAAAGTTTTAAAATTTCGGCGATAATTTTTTCATTTTACTCACACAGACAGGAAAACTGGTGTTAATTAGAGATTATTTGAAATGTTGAGGATATTAAATGTTTGGGCCAAGTGAGGTTCACCCAAACTTAATTTCCATACGAACCCCGAAAAATCAATTTGAACTCAACTTCACCCTGTTGCCTAGGTGAGTATTTATAACACCTGCTCACTTTTTGCACTTTAAACTCCAGACGAATGTAAATCCTCTGGTATCCACGGTCCATTACAAGAGCAAGAGAGATTGCAATTATTGCACGCGGATAAATCGCCTTCAAACACGATGGACGCAGCCAAACGTACAGAGTATTTTGCATCGCCTGCAGACGGCGTGGCGCGACTTCGCGCCATGTTAACGACTCGTAGCGCCGACTTACAGCGTTTTTCATCTAGAATCGGCTTGTAGGAATTTGAAAAGCAAACTATAAAAATTAATAAATAAAATTCTTTCTTTCGGAGTGAACTCCACCCTTACAAAACGAAAGCAACTTTTGTTGTGGTGTTAATTCGGCTGGAACAATGCGGATTTCACTCTACTTAATAATCTGACTCGAATTTTTAGGCAGCTATTATTCTGCCATGCTAAGGAAAAACGCCGTATGAACATTCGAGAGTCGCCAAATTTCCACCGATAAAATATTTATTGTGAAAGCAAGTTATGCATATTTGTCCTTGGAACTTTCAGATATTTTAGATTAAACTGGGAAAAATATTGTCTGAAAAATGGGAAGAAAAATATTCATAGCTTTCCCAATAAATTCGTATTTTATCAAAGGAAACTGGCAAAGCAGGAAGGCTCATACGGTGTTCTTCCTTAGCACGGTAGCATTGTGTTCCGAATTTCACGCCGATATTCCTGACAGTGTGGATGATAGAGTCGTGATCAAACCGGAAGACCTATTGTCACTTTTTGACTGAGCAATTGTGATACTCTTATAATCATAATGTACGTTCAATGAGCATCATTAGTCTGCAAAATCAAAAATTCTTCAAATGAATCATTGAAGTTACAGAATCGGCGGAGAGATCTCCGCGCTTCCAGGACTTTATGTCCACCTACCTTTCGTCCATTAAATAAATGTCCACCGCTATTAATGTCCACTAAACGTTAAGTCCAGTCTTTATTAAGTCCACATGATTTAATGTTCAACCATGAATAAGTCCAAAATTGTCCAAATTGTGGACATGTTATGTCCACATTTTTTTCTTCTAATTTAACCACCTCAAAAACCACCACAAAACCACCTCAGGAACCACCTCAAAAATAAATGCATACTACTACTACCTTCATTCTTAGAAACATTTCATTCATGAATCAAGTCATGAAAGAGAAAAGTCTCTAAGAGCAGATAAAAACATATGTTCATGTGTACACTGTACGGATATGATGAGATGAAAACCATAGCGGGAGCCTAGGAAACGCTCCAATGGCAAATTAAACATTTTTCAGTAACAGATGCAGTCAAAATTGAAAGTCCTCTTTAACTAGTTATTTCGTGTGCCTTCAATCTTGTAGGATACTGTGCAACGCCTCTGACGCGAAATAGTTGCTTAAAGCGTTGCGGCACGGCAGGCAACCAGCGTGAAACGCGCATAGGCGCCTACAAACCTAACGGGATACTTCACGCGTTGCGCAAAGCGTGAAGTATCCCGTTAGGTTTGTAGGCGCCAGTGCGCGTTCTGCGCTGCTAACACGCCGCTCCGCTCTGTGTAAGGCTCTGATATTTAAACTCGCGGAGTCAGCGTTTTTCAACCCATGATTTTGAAATGTTTGCACTCTCTGCACATCTCTGCTCTTTATTCCCTTTTAAACTGATGAAAAAGAAATATGTACTACTGGAAAATATAATGTGCTTTCTGTAAATATAATAGTGGTTCCGTGTCAAATTTAATGATTTCCAAAGCATTCAAGTTTATTCTTTTATGTTTTGGGCTTTTACTGTGCTGCAGCGTGGTGCAAGCGCAACTAAACGCTTAAAATTGGACGTATTTGACTCAAGGAGGTCGATGTACGGACTAAAATATGACGCTTGAATTTGATTTTAGTGGACTTTACATTTGTGGACTTAACTTAGTGGACGTTTAAGTAATGGACTTAACAATAGTGTGGGCTTTAGAACTGTGGACGTAAAAAAAGTGGACATAAAGTCCATGTACCATCTCCGCGAGGGAGGTTTGAGGTTACCTTTAAGACATGTGACATATTGTACAACTTACCCGTTCGAGTTCTGCGTCCGCCATAGTGGGTCATACTACTGCGGCCGTCCACATCTTCCGGTCCCAACTCCTGAAACACATCAGACAAAATAAATACATAAGATTGATAATGACTCATCATGCCAGGAGCTAAGGCTTGATATAAAGTTTGGGATGCTTTAAGAAGAGACGGAGAGGATAATTCCCTTCGCGCAGATCAAACACGGCTATCAAATAAATAAATTGTTTTAGAATTTCTCCAGATAATCCCTTCTTAAAATGACAATAAAGAAAATAAAACTATAAAAAACATATTAAACTTAAAATTACAATGGTAACTCTGGTAAAATATACCACCACTTGAAGGTAGGCTTCTGAGGATGCCATATCCTCTTATCTGTTATGACCAACAGGTGAATTGGTTTTTTTTCTATTTTTGGTCGATTTTATTTTTTACTCTTTGGTTGCCAGAAGGATTGAAATCCCCCCTAGAGGTCCCAAGAATCTTGATGTGAATCTTTTGCCTTGTTTACCCATATTCTTGTATCTTTTACGTCGAATTATGGCTATTTTTAAATACTGTTCTTAACCAAGGAAATTAGATCCCGATGGATACAATTAGAACCAAGTCAAATTTCCAAAAAAATGAGTTGAAGGCGATTATGCCATTTCTTCTTTTGCAGAGAAGGAAAAAAAAGGTAGACAAATTTTTTAGTAAACCGAAGAAAGATATTATATTATCTGTTGCTTTGAGTCGTTCGAAAAAAATCCTGCTTCAACATCATCTGTACGTACTAACTTCAACTTGGTTATTAAAAAAGTGCCTCAGTTGACTATTTGCCTGCGACTTATCAAAGCTATGAACTGTAAGGGGAGCTAACAAAAATACTGCAACAAATATAGCAAATACATAATGGAAAGAAGCAGACACAAGCGAACAATAATACACTCTAACACGCAGAATTTGAATGAAACTCGTGATTTTTTTATCTCGTTACAACTGCACAGTTCCCATACATTTTTCCACTTTGTATCGTGAAGCGCGCCAGTTTTCCTCGAACAACGTCGCTTGGGCTTGTTACGGAAATTCAAATACGTAGGTGCGACGCGCCGCACAGTGGATCGAGTCAATGGGAACGGTCGGACAAAAGGGGTGGGTGCAAAATCGACAAAATTTCCCCCCTCATGGATGTTGACCAAATTTCAGTATGTCATTCCTCACTATGGGATACGCTTTTTCCCAAAATTTCACGGCCTGAAACGAATTTCTCTCCGCGTAGCAGCGTTGCCAAGTTGAAAACCGTCGTGTTCCATATCTTTTGAACGAAAAGAGATATTGAGATGCGGTTTGCGTTAAAATTCTCCAAAAATTGCGTTCTTTCGATGTATGTACTCAATTTGATCGTTTAGGTAATTTAAGATTGCAATGATGCCATTTTTCACACTTTCTTAAGGGTCAATTTTTTTTCAACCCTAGTACACCATCAAATGCCGGATTCTCGATTCGAAAAAAAAACTGTTCATTGTATTATTCGTACTTTTCCATTTCTTTTGATATATTATAGCTCCCAGGGAAACGATTAGTAACGGAGATATGAGCAATCTAAGTTTACGCTCCGCGCGCGCCGACCGGAATCCGGGCGCCGCTCGCCGCTCTGAGTCGTCTGCACACTCCCTTCCTTAAGCTTCACGAGGTCATTCCTATGTATTTTTTTGCGTACTTTCCATTTCTGGCCTTTGAAAAGGGCTCCGATGAATTTTTAGGGGCCTCGCGGTCCATTGTTGCCATTTTTTGCTCGTATTTAGGGTTTTTTCCCTATTTTACTCACAATTCTACTGAAAAACTTAATTTAAACGGAAAACTGTGTGCGTTGAGGGAAAGAACGTGAAGAAGAAATAAAAATTCATGTAAAAATGTTTCCTTCGTTGCCAAATTTTCGAGAAAAATCGTCCTAAAGAGCCAAATATTTGAAAAATTGGATAAATCCCCACGCCATGGTTTATGAAAGTGGGGCATAGCTTTCATATTGACGTACTTACGTAACAGATCTTACCTATCTATACAACATATTAAAAAAGCATAGTTGCATTTGGATTCCCACGATCTGAAATTTGTCCAGGATGTCACCTTTTGCGGTCTTTTCTTATGTGTAAGGTAGATCTTTTGAATGTTTTTCGACCTTTAGTCATCCTCCGTAGGGGTGTATCGTAACCATATGTCGTAGAACGTAGAAGGTTTAAGGAAATGAATAATGACTTTCATGCAGAATTGAAGAGCTTTTCCGGAAAAAGGGCACATACCGAAAAAACGTGTTGTGAGAAAAACGCATTTGAAGTTTTCACTCTTACTTTCTTGCCACTGAAGATGACATACATCGGAACTGGGGCACTTATATCAACGTTCATAAACTCCAGAATGAATAACGGCCATTGGTAAACTTACACTTCTTCCAGTGTTGTGGGAAGAATTTTTTAAAATTATTCGTTATGTGCCCTTTTCCTGGAAATGGACCAGTGGTCATAGGTTTTGGCTTTGAAGCTGAATTTTCGAGACTTCAACGAGTTTCTAAACAAGAGTAAATGATTCCGATTGACTAATAAATAATAATTTCGATTGAGAATGCGCGGGTGGATCATCTTCGATCATTAATAATGCAAAAGACTGCGAAACACGCGAAAAAATCGAAAAATTCAATCTCACACGAGACCATAAAAAATAAATCATTAATAATTAAAAAAATTCACGTGTGACTGGTGCAACGCGTAGAGAATCCCTACAATCCCTGCAACCCGATGCTATTGCATTGATTAGCAGAATCAGTGCGATGCATCTGTAGTGAGGGATCCTTATCAGTACCCATCACCTCCCTGCCTGCCCGCGCACTATCTCCTAAACGTCGCGGCGAAAGTATACCCAGAAGCAAATAGATGAAATATGTCTGTGACCCTTGACTTATTCTTAGCCTCAAAAAACGTGGTCTCGTAGCTCCAAAAATTGATCAATTAAGCTGAAACTCGGGGCATTGGTACATTAGGATGCAAGGAATTCATTTCTGTCACCTCCGATAGAGGGCACATACGCGTATGTGCCCTTTTTCCGGAATGCTCCTCAATTGTGGGCTTCTCTTCTCATGCAGCCTCTCTGCCTCTCATCTTGGGGAAGTGGCCCGTAGCATTAAGTCATACTTAAAATTATAATTATAAAATTAAGTTGAAATCATAATTCACTTTCCTAGAGACATCTTCGTCATAATTAATCCAATTTTTGGCACTTTAGGACGATTTTTCTTGAAAATTTGGCAACGTAAGAATAAGTCCTTACGAACGTTAATGATGTACTTTTTTACGTTCTTTTCAAAAATGAAAATTACAGCAAAAATACATACGATACACCCCTACGGAGGATGACTAAAGGTCGAAAAACATTCAAAAGATCTACCTTACACATGAGAAAAGACCGCAAAAGGTGACATCCTGGACAAATTTCAGATCGTGGGAATCCAAATACAACTATGCTTTTTTAATATGTTGTATAGATAGGTAAGATCTGTTACGTAAGTACGTCAATATGAAAGCTATGCCCCACTTTCATAAACCATGGCGTGGGGATTTATCCAATTTTTCAAATATTTGGCTCTTTAGTACGATTTTTCTCGAAAATTTGGCAACGAAGGAAACATTTTTACATGACTTTTTATTTCTTCTTCACGTTCTTTCCCTCAACGCACACAGTTTTCCGTTTAAATTAAGTTTTTCAGTAGAATTGTGAGTAAAATAGGGAAAAAACCCTAAATACGAGCAAAAAATGGCAACAATGGACCGCGAGGCCCCTAAAAATTCATCGGAGCCCTTTTCAAAGGCCAGAAATGGAAAGTACGCAAAAAAATACATAGGAATGACCTCGTGAAGCTTAAGGAAGGGAGTGTGCAGACGACTCAGAGCGGCGAGCGGCGCCCGGATTCCGGTCGGCGCGCGCGGAGCGTAAACTTAGATTGCTCATATCTCCGTTACTAATCGTTTCCCTGGGAGCTATAATATATCAAAAGAAATGGAAAAGTACGAATAATACAATGAACAGTTTTTTTTTCGAATCGAGAATCCGGCATTTGATGGTGTACTAGGGTTGAAAAAAAATTGACCCTTAAGAAAGTGTGAAAAATGGCATCATTGCAATCTTAAATTACCTAAACGATCAAATTGAGTACATACATCGAAAGAACGCAATTTTTGGAGAATTTTAACGCAAACCGCATCTCAATATCTCTTTTCGTTCAAAAGATATGGAACACGACGGTTTTCAACTTGGCAACGCTGCTACGCGGAGAGAAATTCGTTTCAGGCCGTGAAATTTTGGGAAAAAGCGTATCCCATAGTGAGGAATGACATACTGAAATATGGTCAACATCCATGAGGGGGGAAATTTTGTCGATTTTGCACCCACCCCTTTGGAAACTTTCAAAGCTTATAACTCCGGTAAATCAAAACTTTGAGATTTTAAAAGTAGTTTCATTGGTTTTCTCGTGAAATTTTCTTGCAGAAGCACCCCTCAAAATTTAAACAGGGTTGCCACAGAATTAAGAAAATGAAAGTTCCTGACATTCCCTGATTTCCCTGTCATATACTCTGAAAAAAAAAATCTATTAAATTTTACCATACTTTGAAACAATGATACAAGTATGGTAATAAATACCAGACTCTATGATAGCATTTACGATATTATGGTAAGAATTCCCAGACTTCTGGCGAATACTACTATAATTATGGTTATTTTCACGAAATAGTATCACTGTGTAAAAATCAAGTAGACTCATAGTAAATGTTACTATACTTTTTTTCAGTGTATTGGTGAAATTCCCTGACAATTAAAGATATGCCAGATGTTTAAAAACACATACGTTCAAATAGTTTTCTTGCAAAGTCTATTGTTTGAAGCGCCAAACCTAGTCTAGAGAGCAATTAAAGGTGGCTGACAATTTTTCCCTGTTATTTTCGACATTTTCGTATTGTTCCCTGACTTTTTAAAATTCCCTGATATTTCCCGGATTTCCCAGTGTTCCCCGACTGTGGCAATCCTGCTTAAGATGTGAAGAA